TGAAGAACGAGAATGAGAATGAGAAATTAATGAGGAATGTTATTCATTTTCAGTGGGGTTACAAACATGGTTTAGGTGACTCTAAATGATAGGTTAAATGAAAGGTAAAATTTTAGTGCCACATTAACGCCACCTAGACTGTGTTTATAACCCCGGTAAAAATGAATAGCATTACTCGAAATTAATGGGTGACAAACGGGAGCTAAAGTTCAAATGCATGGAAATCTATTCTCGACTCTTGAAAATTGATTCCACATGATACTATTATTCCATAATCATTTTTTTTACCACTCCTAAAACAAAAGTAACTTTTTTTTTTACCATAAGAAGTCGAGCTCTGAAAGCAATCCCTATCAAGCCTTGAATAATCTCTATTTTTTGTTTTTGTTTTTATGAATAATGTTATCTGGTATTACTGGTGCTATAACATTGATTTAGATGGTGATATATGATATGCTTAATGAAATGTGAAATTAAGTGTTTCGTTTAATTTTACATCTCATTTAATGTCGTATAAACTAGTGTTTTAAAACTTTTCGTAATTAAATAGCATTACTCTTTTTTCTTTTATTGAGACATTGTTTGATGGGAATTAAAATCAGATTTTTAGTAGATTTTGAAAAAAGTTGATGAAATATATAGTTAAAATTAATTTTCAATTTTGATTTTGATTGATTTTAATAAATATGAAAAAGGGGTTGAGTAATGATACTCATCATCACTGGTGTTAAGCACCAGTTTAGGTGACAATTATATGCAAAGTAACATATTCATTTAATTGAACCAATAAAGCGTAGTTATCAAAACTGGTGTTGTAACACTACTGATACCGGATAATATTATTATTTTTATTGAATAATACTATATATCATTACTGATATTATAATACCAATCTAGGCAGTGTTGGTGTCACTTAGGCTGATCTCAAATAACGTTAGTCTTTATAATTGCAGAGGAGGAAAGTTGATGAGAAATTGATTGGTTGGTATAATTATAAAGAATAATTCCTTAAGTATAGGAAATTTTGTCAAATTTTGTATAGAATTTTGAATTGGAAAAATCTTGTGCTTGTATCTGTGTTTTCCTCCATGTTTGAATCCAGTCCATCCATTTCAAATTTTTGTGTGTATTCTGTGAAATATTCATGTACTCACAGCATAGTTCAATTATAAATGAGGTCCAGGGGAAATGACATAGGTAAGAAAAAAATGAAGAAAATTTAAGAAAAGGACACGAGTGCCATCATTTTGATGAATTTGGATGATTCCATGCACCCATTCGCAAGAATCTCTTGGGAAGTAGTTTCTGTCTGCTTCCTTTCCGTCTCTCCCCATTTAAACCCCCTTTCACTTTTACCCTTCTCATAATCCACCTTGTAAAACATGTCCATTTTTTTCACTTCTTCTTCAATCATTCTTCTCCGATCATCTTCCACCACCACTGCAGTGCCGCTACATATTCCGGTCAATTCTTTTTTATATCCCACCACCAGTTCTGGTAAGTTTTGTGCTCGTGTAAGATATTTTAAAAGTTTGTGCGTGTTTGGTGTTTCCAAGAAGAACGATCATTTTCTTTGCACCAGAAGTTCTTTTTTTATTTTTTGCCTTCTGAATTTTTGTTTTAAACTCAAGAGCTAATTTTTCTTTCTCGAAATGGTTAAAAGGTCATCCTCAATTATTTGTTTTTCATATGAATAAAGTTAATAAATGTAACTATTATCGTTTCCTTTGTTTTTGTCTTGTTTGATTATTCGAATTAAAACGTATAATTAAACCAACTAATTATTGTAGGTTTATGGCCCTCCTGGAAAGAAGTTACATCCACTTCACTTATCCAATGCAAAGCTGTATCCAAACCTCGTACCCAAGGTGCAATTTTATAAGTAACTCTTAGGATTTTTCGAGGAAAAAAATTAATTTTTTTTTGGTCCCTTGTTAATGCAATGAAAATATACAACTGCAGGATACATAGATGTGCTTCAAAATGGTTTGCCAGTGATAAAATGGCCTGAAATTCTGGAGGATGAAACAGAAATAGATACTCTAAAGGTGGTTTTCTTTTTGTTTAAAGAGCGTAAATTTTATGTTTTTTTTTTATTTTTTCTAATTCGATTTCGATTGTGAAAAAATAGGAGACAACAACAGAGGAAAGGATAGTGGAACTTGTGGAATCAATACGATGGATGTTGTGTTCAATGGAAGATGGAGAAATAAGTGTATCGGCTTACGACACGGCTTGGGTGGCTCTGGTGGAAGATATTGGTGGAAGTGGTGCACCCCAATTCCCCAGCAGTCTTGATTGGATTGTGAACCACCAACTCGATGATGGCTCATGGGGTGACATGGCCACCTTTACGGCTCATGACAGGATAATTAACACATTAGCATGTGTTGTTGCATTGAGATCATGGAACATGCACCCTGACAAAAGTGAAAAAGGTAACACAATATTTTCATATAATCAGTTTATCTGAAACAGATCTAATCATCATATGATCTTGATGCACAGTAGTGAGCACGAATAGTGTTTCGAACACGTAATCATGA